AATAGATTTTTTTAACTCTTTCATTTTAAGAGACATCTAATTGACATGATTCTTAAAAAGTGATGCCTTGATGACCATAACTAACATTTAAGAATCAAAGTTAAATAAGGATAAATAATCTCCCCATCTCTTTATTTGAAAGAAGTTATAAAATGAGATCTAGAATTCAATTGCATGCTTGAATTTGAGTCATATGGTGGAATCTCAATTTTTTTTCTAGATCTTGAAAATGAAAGTTTCCAAACTCATATTTTAAGGAAATGACTTTTTTTTTTTCTTTTTTTAAATAATTTTTTAGTAGAAAGACCAACCTAGACTTTTCAAATTGAGTCTTTAGGTGAGTAACTAATAAGGTATCCATTTCAATACCTTAAGAATTAATTGGAGAGTTGTTTACATGCTCCATACTTTTTATTTTGGATAATATCTATGTTGACTCAAGAGATAAGAAGAAAAGAGGGTCCCACTAGGCGTGTCACAAATTTAAACACATCAAATTTCATGCATTAAAAAATACATTAAACATGGTGTTAAAATTACATAAATAAGTTTGGTTACCAAAAAAAATATTCTCTTAAGATGCTTTTTTGGTGCACAAATCATCTAATTAACATTCAAATTTGGATCTTGTTTTAGATGAGAAGATATCCACACAAGATTGAAAACTTTAACCATATAAGATTTTAACTTGATTTGATTTAATGAACATGAAGATTATTCACACGTACCCAAAAGCTTTAACAATGTGAGGTCCTTAACTTGACTTCATTCAATAATGAATATTATTCACACAAACTTCAAAGCTTTAATTGTTTGAGGTATTTAACTTGATTTGATTTGATAAAGGAAAAGACTTTGATTGTTTGCTTCCTTGTTTTAATTTGATGACGTAACATACTTTAATTCTTTGCTTTAACTTGAATATCTTTTAAAAAAACTTCCAAGTATATGCTTGAATTGTTTATTTATAGACATTTCAAATATAATTTATCTTAAATATTCTTTATCTAAATTATATTCTAGAAAAATTAATATAAAAATTATTTAAAATACCTTTAGCTAGAACAATGTTGAAGGAAGAACCATGAAATATATTTTGAATTGAATTTTTAATTTATTTTAAATGTAAATCCAGTAAATTAAATTTGTTTTATCATAAAGAACTTTAAATAATGGGTCAGACTTGTTGAGATTTTATTTTCTGGATACTAAATTAATGCCATCAAATATGTGACATCAAGAAATTCATTAACTTACTGATTGAAAATTGTTTTTAATTTACAACACTTACATAATTATTAAATGGCATATTAGTTAATCAAACCTTTTATTTATTTATTTTTTATTAAAGATTAAAAAGATGCATAATCAATAAAAAATATTTTAAAATTAAATTTTAATTAAAATTCAATGTTAAAAAAAATAATTTTTTCAAAAAAAAGCCAAGATAATTAATAAAAAATAATGAAAATTATTTTTTAATTATTATTATTATTATTATTCTACATTCATTCTTGGAACATGTGGCTAAGCAAACAGTCTTTATATTAAGTAATAAGCTAAAAGGTATAGGTGATTCATTGTTCATCTACATCTAATACATTATGGATTACACTAGTAATCCACAATGCATTCTTCTTCTCTTTTTATTTTTAATTTTTCTTCCAACTTTCTCTTTTTTCCCCGAAAATTACTTTCTTCTTTTTCTAACTTTTTTTCTTTAAAAAAAATTATACTTGTCGATTTTACTTTTTTATATTGAGTTGGTTAAAAATTTTATTTTATAATTTTTTCTTTAAAATACCGTGAATTACTAGGGTGTTTTTCCACATGGTTTTTCTATTTTATTTTTCAAAAAATTTTATTGATTTTATTTTTTTTAATATGGAGCTGATTGAAAATTTAGTTTTATAATTTTTTTAAAACATTATTGATTGCTATAGTATTTCATCGTATATTTTTTTTTGTTTTTTTATGTATTGATGATTTTATTTTTTAATATTGAGCTAGTTAAAGCTTAAAGTTATAATATGAGAGAAAAACACTGTAACTTTCCTCGTAAATTATTATAAATTTTCATAGTATTTTTTCCCACAAGGTTTTTTTTGTGTTTTTTTTTAATATTTTTTTTCAAAATTATCTTTGTCAATTTTATTTTTTTTAATATTAAGCTGATTAAAATTTAACTTTGTAATAAAACTTAATCATGTTGGAAAAGTATTATAACTTTCCTCACAAAACATTGTGGATTGCTAGAGTGTCTCTTAATATGTTTTTTTCTTATGATTTTTTCAAAATTATCTTTGTTAATTTTTTTTTTAATATTGAGATGATTGAGAATTAAAATAACAAGTCATTACAAATAAGGTTTAATCATGAGGGTAAGCACTATAACTTTCATTATAAAACACTGTGAATTTGATATAGTGTTTCCAACATGGTTTTTTTGTTTTTTTTTAAAATTATTTTTATCGATTTTATTTATTTAATATTGAATTTATTGAGAATTTAGCTTTGTAATTTTTTTCTTTAAAACACTGTGAATTGTTGTAATGTTTTCCCATATTATTTTTTTTCAAAATTATCTTTGTTAAATTTTTTTTAATATTGACTTGGTTAAGAATTATAATTACAATAAAACTAAATTATATAGGGAAAGCGTTGTAGCTTTTCTCACAAAACACTGTGAATTGCCACAATATTTGTCTAAATGGTTTTTTGATGATTTTTTTTTTCTAAATTGTCTTTGTCAATTTTATTGGAAAAAGCATTGTAACTTTTCTCATAAAATACTGTAAATTGCCACAATATTTTTCTAAATGGTTTTTTGATGATTTGTTTCTAAAATTATCTTTGTCAATTGATTAGTACTTAAAAATGCATTCTCATTAAGGATTTATGTCATCATATTGCACCTAAAGTATCATTAAATTCCCTAACAAAAGCATGTTTTATATTAGCAAGTCTAAAAATATAATATACCTTTAATTCATGGTAAATGTTCATCCTAAATGCAGGTCTATCACATAAATAAAAGGATTGATTGATGAGTTTAAGAATTGAAATTGAAAGGATAAAAAGAAGGCCAAACTTAGCAAAGTGTTGCTGGTGCATTCCAAACTCGAATACCGTTCGGTAATTTGATCATATCTGGAGCTGTAGATATCATATTTAGGTCCATTTTATATCGATGGAAAGGTAAGATATAGACCTACAACTTTCATATGGACTCAAAGACTTAGTTATGCCATTTTCAAGTTCAAATCTTAGCAACAACGAAGACGTCGGAAGCTGTCCTGCAGCTCAAGCACTATTCGGTTTTTGGCTCATATCTTGAGTTCTAGAAGTCCAAATGAGCTCTGGTTTTTTTTTATGGAAAGCTGAGACAATTGCCCACAGATTCCACAATTCAGTTGGCTATAATTCTGATGTGAGCAATGACGTTTTGGCCAGCCAACAATATCAAAAATCAGCCCACAATATCAAAAAACCAGCAGCCATTAATGTCAAAAACCAGCCACCAAATCAATGGATGCCCACCAATTCTTCAATCAATCAATAGTTCTGAAACTTAGCCTATAAAAGGAGGCATTGTCCATGTATTTAGTCATATTAATTTTCAGATCAAAGTTATCTTCTTGCTTTCTCTCTACATCTTTGTAATGTTCAAGTTTTCTTTTATGCTATAGTAATCTCTTGTTTATGCTCTTTCATTTCCTTTCCTATACTTAGTTAGCTTATATTATGTTTATGTTCTTATATTGTTTATTTGTGTTTTTCTCCTTCTTAATGTTTAGCTAAGTTAATTATGTCAAGGTGAAAAGGTTTCTCTAATGGTGTTAGAATAGGTATAATATAAACTCAACATGAGCTTTAAATGTTTATATCCAAGAAAGATTGTTATTAACATGTTTTATCTTTTTATCTTACTAATTCTTAATACCTTGCTTATTAAATGTTTAATTTAGATTTGTGTTGTATAATATTTGGTACATCAAATGCTTGATCTTTCATAGTTTTCGGCCGAAATCGTTATTATGATAGAAACTTGATTTGTTGTTAACATAAACTAGCAACATGAATGCTTGATGATATTTATAAGTATGGTATTACTTATATAAGATAATTAATATGATCATGTTAGTAATTTATAATGAGCTAATAACGAGAAATCATCCGATTAGAACTTTCTTTGTGTGTGGTTTCTAGTTGAGTAATAAAAAGAGTTTATATTATATTTATTTGAAATACCATTAGTGAATCCTATAACCTTGACATATGTTTTGTTATTGTTTAATCCTTACATCAATATCACATCCCAAAACTTTCTTCAACTCTTTTTCTGTTATTATTCTCTTCAAATCTTTTTCTTTATTTGTAATTTATATAATTCACCTCCCTGTGGTTCGATCCCGATCTTGCCGAATTATTTTACTTTGACATTCCTACACTTGGGATAAGACATCAACTCTTTGATCGTGTCATCAATTTTATTGGAAAAAGCACTGTAGTTTTCCTTACAAAATATTATCAATTACTATAACGTTTTTTTCTCATAGGTTTTTTTCCTTCCAAAGTTATCTTTATTGATTTTTTTTAATATTAAGTTGGTAAAGAATTCAGTTTTGTAATTTTTTTTTATTTATAAAAAAGCTAAATCATGTTGCAAAATCACTTTATCTTTTATAACAAAATACAGTAAATTGCTACAAATTATTTTGTTCAATCTCTAAATTTTTTATAAAAAACATAACTTTTTTTCTATCATGAAATATAAGCTTCACCATACTTTTAATTTTTATTATTTATCTAATATTAATTTATAATTATAACATTATTAAATATATTTTTTTTATAAACTTTCAAACATATTATCTCGTTGTTATCTTATATATAGTTTAAAATCTTATCCCAAAAAAATGCTTTAGCGATAGTATTTGCCTTTTAATAATTTGATTAATTGAGGTCAATTAGTTTTGAAAAAAAAAAGAATTATTTTTTTTATTTTAATTATTGATTAGAAAAAAATATAATGGAAAAATTTCTGTTGTGTTAATGTAAAATGCAATCCAAATTCCGAATCTCAAATTTATTAGATCACTCTACTAAGCGGGGTCGGTTTAACAACAATGCACTAAACTAGCCCAAGGAAAAGATTATTTGGATGCTTTCCTTCTTCCCTGTGCCTGTTTCTCTCTTTCTTCGGGTCAGAAACGCAGAAAAATATTCTGTTCGATCGCTATAAAAGGTATATATAAACAGAGCAAACTGAGACACAACTAACGTTTGAGGTATGGATCTTCTTCTAAACCTCGTTTCTTGTCTTGTTGTTCCCATTTGTTTCTTAATTCTCTGATACATAATAATTTCTCAGCAGACTCATGGAACTCTAAATAATCATGCTTGGTTATGTTTTGCTATGAATGCAATTCTCTAGTCTTAAAGAATTGAATTGAATTGAATTTTGAGTTCAAAAAACTGTTTTTTTGGTATAATTTTGCAAAATGATCAAAATGTTTTTCATTTTGGAATTATACCATATCATGGATGAGGTGAATCTGACATGCATCTTTTGTATTCGTTGGATTTTAGCCCCTCTTTGTAAGTACACACTTCAATCTATCTGCCAAAACATGACTCAGACAGACAGCAAATGTGAGCATATCACCGTTCACACTGTCACTCAGACTTCTCCATGTCCTATACTCTCATGTGTAGAGAAAGCACCTAAATATGCTCATGTTTCACTTATACCAGTTGCTGATTCACATCAAAGTTCATGCAATCAACCATCAGCATCTGGGGTCTTGCAAGATGTACACATAGTAAGATTATTGGAACTCTCCTTCCATGTACAAATGGTCTTTTCATTATTGCTATATTCTTCTTGTATATTACATAATCTTCAAGGTTGTTGCAGTATTTTCTGTTTCCTAGAACTAGATTATGCTGGAGTTCTTATATTTGACAAGTTGATGATTTGGTTATTTTATTAGTCGCCGCTGTTGATGGAGGATTTTCTTGAACTTGCTAGAGAAAACACAGAGAAGGATCTTGAAACATGTGGGGTTCTTGGTGCTTTCCTTGTAAGATTCATGTTTTTGTTCATACTCTCTGTAACTGAAATGCTTTCTTTTATAGTCTTTAGGCATTTTAACAAATGTTAATGATTTTTTATGGTTTGCACATCACATATTTGGTCTTATTCTAATTGGTTTCTAAATGAACTTCTTTAATTTATAAATTTCTCTGTTGTTCCTCTCCTTGCTATTTTCAAAGAATTGCTATCTCTTTCCAATTGCATATTCTCACATACATGCAGTAAAAAATCTGCACTCAATATCTATTTCATTTGTGGTGTAAAAGCCCCAAACCGCGGCCTCCCCCCCCACCGGAGGGAAAAACCTTTGGAATGGCAGCCTGCTTAGAAAATGTGCTAAATCTTAGTCATGTACCAGTTTGGCTGGGGTATAATCCACCACTTTTATCATGTATGCATGCTGTTATAGAGATCTTGACTAGCTATCTATATTCTTCCAATTTTTCCACTAATTAAACTACTTTCTGTGTTGGTTGTCATTGTGCTACAGCTGGTGCTTATGTTCATAATTCCACTCATCCATTTTCTTGCTGTTTTTGATAGTCTGTTTTCATAATCTTTTGGATTACTGGTTGCTAGTGATCATGCTTTGCATTGTTTCCAATCATTGATGCTATACTGGTCTGAGATGTGGAGATTAATTTGACGTGATGATTTCATATTGAATCTCGTTTCTATGCTATCCTCATGATATCAGGAGCATGGAACCTATTATGTCACCACTCTAATAATACCAAAACAAGAATCAAGTTCCTCTTCTGTGAGCTCCTGGAGCCTTTTTACTCTTTTTAATTGGGTTCAAGATGTCATTTGATGTGACGTTTATATGGCCTAATTTCTTAACCAATAACATTGACGACAGTGCGAGGCTTTAAAAGAGGAGGAGTTTTTTGCCATACAGAATGAACGTTCTCTTTTTCCTGTTGGGTGGATTCATGTATGTTTTTTATCCTGTATTTTTTTCACCTTGTAATCTCAAATATTTCTTCATGAACATGGTATTATAAGTTATATAAATTTTTCTTAAAACTAAAATTATAATGTTCTGCTTTCAGACACATCCTTCTCAAAGCTGTTTCATGTCATCAATTGACCTCCACACTCACTTTTCATACCAGGTAATTGACTGACCTGCAGATCTGTTAGTATAGATTGAGCAGTTTTCATTCTTGTTCCTGTGATTGCGCTGCACAGATTCAACTAATACTTGTCAAGCTATCATTTTAAAGATTGGCAAGGTCAATATTCTGTTTTGTCACAATTAAAGGCCTTAATCTTCTTACACTAGCACCTTTAGATTTGACTCTAAGTAATGGAATATACCCAATTGATGAATATATGCTTGGAATCTCTAGCTTTGGTTCTTGGCTGACAAGCACAGGACCTGTACTTCCCCCCTCTCCCCTATTTGGGGGAATCAGAACTATTGAGATGAACATCCATTGGGCCTGGTACCTAATTGTTACTATTAGTTCTCATCTAGTTTTTCTCTGTTCTCCTTGCATGCCGATGAGGTTAAATTTAAAATTTGACTAATCTAGTTGTTTCTGTATGCTTTCAGGCAATGGTACCTGAGGCATTTGCCATTGTCATGGCTCCAACTGATAAGTCAAGGTGTGTAATTCATTCACTGAACTATATGATTAGCCTCTGTCACTATTCAGGGCCATTTTTACTGTCCAATTCTTTTTAAATGGCTTTTTTTAAGCCTCCACTGATATTCTCTATTAACACCCTCTATTTTCCTCATAGAATCTATGAACAATCAGTCCATGTTACCGTAGACATCAGTATCTGTTACATAAGGTTAATTTGTCTTTGGTGACTTTATTTCACCAAAGATCCCTGGCACAAGTGTCATCAACTCATTCCTTTCTCGCCAACCTTCCACCTCCACCTCGAGAAACACTTATTTTCTGTTTTGCATTTGTTCTCTAATTGCTACATAAACTCTGAATCTCGTATTTCTAAATTTACTTTTGGATCTTCAGGTTGAGCACTTTGAAGGTGAAACAATAGGAAACAAGGCATTGATTATCTGTTTACTAATTCATGTACCAGTCCATTTCCAATCACGACTCAGCACAATTCAATTTCACCTAGTGATTCAGTTAATTTTCAAACAAACTATGTTCATGTTTAGAAAGTTTAAAGAGAAAAAAGCTACCGAGGTATCAAAGTATGAACAAGGCACATAAGATCAGCCATGTCATTTGCAGAAATAAAAAATACTTACCTGTAACAGCGGAATATTGGCATGATAAAATATTACAATCCTTTTATGTTTAACAACGTTTACTCCAGCAATACCTAGATGCTTAAAAGGTAAACAAAACAAAAGCAGATGGTTCTATATATCCATGTGGAGCGGATCACATTTAGTTCCATGCACCACTTAATTTTGGAATGCAGGAGCTATGGAATATTCAGGTTATCTGAACCAGGTGGCATGCGTGTTCTGAAAGAGTGTGAAGAGTCAGGGTTTCATCCTCATGGAGAACCAGCAGATGGGAGCCCCATTTACGAGCACTGCACCAATGTATACACAAATACTAATCTGAGATTTGAAATCTTTGACTTACGCTGATCTATCTTATTGGTCTGCAACTACATGTGCATGACGGCACAGATCCAGGGTTCAAGTTAACACTAACATGACCCTAGCCACTACTTGCAGCAAATATGGGTTGAGGTATCAAGACATGATACCAGGGAATGCAGATATATATATATATATATATGAATTGAATCAGCGCTTTCCTTGAATGGCGGTGTTTGTGGTTTCTGGCTGTCATAATAATGAGTTCATGACTGTTCATGAAATCAAGAGATGAATGCTTCCTCTTTAATATGTGTATCTTGATCAGATTATGCCCAGTGTTTTCCTGATTTTATTGACCTGCAGAATATGAATATATATTTTTTACTGGATGACAAGACTTATATGCCACCTTCAATGGGGGTGTCTTATTCCAAAGTGTGTATAAACTTATAAAGCGTTCAATCACAAACTACGTTTTGGTATTTTGTTTGCTGATTTGTTTTAATACCCTCGGCTCATAGGTTCAGACACACAGGCAGAACCATGTACTAGATTTAAAGAGAGTAAGAGCATTGAGATGGTTAAGTTAGTGTTAAATTCAGGAGTGTTAATTCATATTAACATGTCATATTCAGGATGTATTAAGTTAGTGATGTCTTCGAGCATGAGTTGTATAGTTAGTGTTAAATCTTCAAAGATGAATTTATCATTAAATTTTAATCAGCGTATTAAGCAAGGTAGCACAACACAATTCACGTTGACCTCTTTTAATAAACAGTTCATGTCAAGTTGATATAATCATTGAACTCAAACTTTCTCATAAAAGACTAATTGTTTTGATAGGGGCTCAATAAAGTTTTGCTAATAATGTTGGCTTCCGCATCTAGCAGTAATTTTTTCGAAACCCCCATTACATTGGACAGTTTAATTGTTTGTGGTTATGGCTATTAACAGAGATGAACACTTGCTCAACAGAAGGATTCATGTAAACATGTAAGAGAGATGCCAAGAATGGAGCACGATCTCTCTTAACAAACTAGCTATGTCTTGAGTAGTGAGCAGGTGTTGATCAAGTATTAACATAACTCCTAAAAAAAGCAAAGTCTAATCAACTTCGACTTTACAAACCTCTAGTTTAGAAACTAGTCTAAAAAGGATGAATGTTCCTGCTGAGATCGCTAACGTTGGTGAAAAAACCAAAGATATCCCGCCGGTATGGCAAATATGATTTTTGTTTATCCCCATCCTTGATCGCTCTGTTCCTCAGATAATGCAGTTCGTGTGCTGACGAAGACGACGACGACACCCTTTTACTGCTCTGCTCTTTTCTCTTCACAACCCCCACATCCTTCTTCTTCGTCTTCTTCTCAGCACCTATCTTTTCGGAAGTAGCAGCTGTTGTTGTTGTTGTTGTTGAAAGATGTTTAGAAGTAGAATCTTCATGATTGAAGAAGACGAAGGCATCCTTTCCATCACTGTTACTTCGAAGAACAAATTCTCGAAACCTCCTAAGCTTCGAGAACCCCGTGGAGTTGCTCTTCCTGCATGTCTGTTGATCCGGCAAGGCTTTGCTACCCCCTGTCCACACGCAGCACGGTCCCTCAGCTTCGTTGCGTTCTTCCACGAACATGAACGGACCTCCTCCTCCTGCTGCTGCTGCTGCTTTATCATCATCAATGAACTGGGGACCACCATCTCGGTTGAATAAAGGGAAAATGGGCCTGATCTGCCCGTTTTGGAATATATCATCAGCTGATATCAGCGATCCCGATGGGTTTGTGCATAAGAAACTGAACTCTTCTTCTTCTTCTTCTTCTTGATCTCGTACTACTGGTGGTGGATGTGGATTCTTGTTGTAAGAAACCAGCTCATTTTCTGCAGACTCGGTTGCTGCAGTAATGGAGCGTTCATTAACCTTCGGACTCACCTGCATTGCTCAACCACTCCGAAAAATTCAATTATCTCTCTAGGAATTCAATTTCTTGTTCGAAAGAGAAAGAGGTTGGCTCGTACCTTAATCTTTCAATAAATAAATAGAGGTAGGTAGATGGAGCCAGTTTTATTTATTGACCATGACTAAATTGAAAAGGCGCGTAAGAAGCCGAGTGCCGATTTGTTCTGTGGGTAACCCGAAATATCGTTAGTACTTTCGATCCATCGACTATTCTTGGACTTTACATGTTACCCCCGCAAGTAAGCGTGTTTGTTGACTCACTAATTTTTTTTTTTTTTTAAGAATAATGAATTTTACTAGAAGTTCCTAGTTATTGACCGCCGTTTCGTCACCTTTTTAATAATAATAAAAAAAAATGCACTGGCTTTGTGTCAATTGCGAAAAGTTGACGTGTTTAATAAAGTAAATAGAAAATAAATGTCATCAGAAGTTTTTGACATTAATTAAAAGTTTTTAACATTAAGTAAAATAATGTACTGGCTTTTTGTCAATTGTAAAAAGTTGAAGTGTGTTTAATAAAATAAAACTAGAATTATAATATGAAAAAATAAATGTCAAAAGAAGTTTTTAACAGAATATAAATGTCAACAGAAGTTTTTAACATTAATTAAAAGTTTTTAACATTAAGAAAAATAATGTACTGGCTTTTTGTCAATAGTAAAAAGTTGATGTGTGTTTAATAAAATATATCTAGAATTATAATATGAAAAAATAAATGTCAAAAGAAGTTTTTAACATTAATTAAAAGTTTTTAACATTAAGTAAAATAATGTACTGGCTTTTTGTCAATAGTAAAAAGTTGATGTGTGTTTAATAAAATATATCTAGAATTATAATATGAAAAAATAAATGTCAAAAGAAGTTTTTAACATTAATTAAAAATTTTGTTAGGAAGTTAAGAAATAAATATATATACATCATGACATATGATCTTGTGTCATGAAAAGCTCTTTATTTTTTTTTATTTAATTATATAAATTTTTTTTTGGGTAAAAAATTAATAATTTAAATTTTATTGAAACAAATTTGTTTAATTTTAATTCCTCATTTTCTTATTAATATATTTTTTCTAACAAAAAAGTATAGCAGTTATGTTATTAACCGATTAAAAATTGAAAGCAATTAAATAAATATTAAAAAAAGTAAATCATTTAAGGTGAGGATAAAAAGGCACTCAATTATATTATTAATACAATTTCTCTATTTTTTTAACATTTATTTATCAATATAATTTTTTTCTAAATAAAACCTCTTCAGAACTATAAAAAGCAAGTTTTAATAAAAATATAAAAAATCTTTTAATAATTTTAGTGCTCTTTAATGTTTTTATTAAATTGAGAAGTTGATGTGTTGATTGCTATTTGTATAGATAGACAAGATGTCATCTACTATTCCACATTTTAGCTATCAAAAAGTCAAGACTTAAATTTTAGGGTCCAAAAAACTTATTTTCAAAAAATTTTTCACTTGAAGACATCCAAGAAAGACCTATTGGCCTCAATAAATTTATTTTTTAACATTAAATCACCCATTAATCCATCAAACAATAAAAATTAACCTGAATCAAAAAGAATTTTTGAAGCCTAGTCTATTTATTATAGCAAGATGAAAGATTTAAAACATCTAAATAATACTTTTCTCATAATAAAGAACCAATGATATCAAATTTATCCTTTTTATAGCCATAAAGTGGCCAACTCATAATTGAATCTCTCTTTTTCTATATTTGAGTGACTTTCCTTGTCATTTCTCTAAAAATAAATAAAACAAAGTTTTGAACTAGAATTAAAAACCATAAAAAACAAAGGACCAAAATTTTAAAAAAGTGCACCTCATGAACAATTAATAAAAAGGAAAAAAGTAAGCTTTTATGTTAAATTTGATCCCTAAAATTTTAATTACTTTTAAATAATAAAATTGAATCATATTATACCAAATTGAGCAACAACATAATATCATTATATATTTTTCAAGACCACGAGAACTTCAAAGCAAGCTAATTATTGCACCCTCACCAGCGGAGCGCGACGATCCTAGATTGATTTTGGGGTTTTTTGGTTTGATTTATGGATAAAAAAGTCGTCACCTAGTATTTTGGTCCCTAAAAACCTTAACTGGTCTTTTAGAGATTATAAGGTAAATGATTGATTACATAAAAGAAAGGTATTAGCACCCCTAGTATGCCCTACCTAAGGTAAACTGCTTGGTGTTTGGTTTGCTTTATAATTGCTATGGTTTTGTTGTATTGGTATTTTATAATCCCATCAATTTTTTTTATATTTGATTCAAACTAAATTTATTAAGATGAAATTTAAAGATATTTCATGTGCTTTAAAAGCTCATTTTTCCCTTAGTATTTTAAGAGTTTGCGACTCGTAAATCACAAGGAGAAGAGACAAAAATTTAAAAATCTAGGGTGTTTTAAAAACCTATTTTTACCTTAGTGTTTTATACTCTCACGACTCGTAAACCGTGGAATCAAGTCTTCTTTCAAGGATGTGTGATAACTTATTATTCCTAGAAAATTATTTTGAATATTTACACTTAGGGTTTCTTTATCCAAATATTAACAGTGAATTATAAGAAGTTATTCCCAATAATATTTTAGATATTCATCCCTTTGTGATTTCTTTATCCAAACATTAATGGTAAATAATAAATGAATTTGACCAAAAAATGAGATTTTTTATTTTTTAGAATATTGGTCAATACCCTTTGAAGTTTTACAAACATGTTGCAAAATCTATAAATGCAAGAAAATAATTTTTGTTGTGTTTAAGAAATCCACAAGGGCTTATAAATAGTCTAAATATATCTCTATTTAGGCAAGATTCAATGATTAATTTTAGGATGCAAATCCCTGCTGATCTGCAGTAAACAAAACACAAAAGGAAACTAAAATATCCTAATTCCTATTCTGATTTTAGCTCTTAGTTTCCATTTATCAAAGGGTGGTATAGTTCCTTTCTTTCCTTCCATAACTAGGACCATGAGGCAACAACTGTTTCCTTTGAAATGAGAAAATAAAAACATGGTTTGTAGCTCTCTAATTAGCAAGACAAACATGGAAACCAGTAGGAAATTTACAAAGAAAAAAAGGAAAGAAATCAGATGGGTAAGGGTGTATGCTGCAAAGTCTTATTTTTTTTTATTTGGTGTGGTAGAAATTCTGTCATTTATGATGATCCAGGCCCCCTCTCCATCTTTCAATATCCTTCTTCATTTAAATCCCTCACTTTAGCACCTTTTGATTCAGTCCTTGGTTCAAAAAAAAAATCCTTCAAATCAGGCCTGCGAACTTCGGCTAAACCCTTCTTGCAGCAGGATTCTCTGCTTTCACATTCAAATAGGAATATCTTGAGCTTGTGATATTGAAATCATACTATTTAAAATCCTAAATTTGATTAAAGATTCAAAATGAGATAAAATCATTTTAGAGAACAAGATTTAGCAGTAATCTTGTTGGTCAAAAAGGGTCTACTGATCTAATTTAGAAACGACAATGCCAAGCATCTCGATATAAATGAT